TAGATGCCAGTTTTAAAGGAAGTTGAAAGACTACTTTGAGGAATTTATAAGTATACTTGAGTATTTTAATTGGACAGTGTTGATGAATATTATATTTTGGTTGGTTCAAGTCCAACAAGGCTAGTGTTAGTGACTTCGTTTAAAGAAAAACAAAGTGTATTGGTAACAATCCCACCAGAAGTTGTGGTATACCAGATTTTGTATTATTATTTTAACTATTTTTAGATATCTGTGATATGCTCCGAACTTCACAGTTCACAATACAATAAATTAATATACAGTTCGCTCTCTATAATGAATACTAAGTAAAATCTCTCTATAATCTTAGTAAACACTCTCTATAATGAAAAATCACATATAGGGATGGAAGAATCCTGAAATTTTGAAAATGTAAGGTGCAATTTTCTCACCTTGTTCTTTCTTCAAAATACTTCTAATGGTGTAAATGAGTTTCATATTAACTATTTTTGTCTAGACAAATACACAGGTAATACAATTGTGATGTCAAACAAACACTATTGATCCCTGAAATCCTTGGTAATACCAATGTTCACTTTGTCTGGTTTTGTTGCAGCATGTCCCATATCCCAACATAAATATAATATTTTATCATCTGAATGATAAATTTGAAAAAAATTATATCCCCATGTTGAATTGAATATTTTTTTACAAATAAAAATATCCAATTCAACATGGGATATACTTTTTTTTCAAATTTATTATTCAGACGATAAATATTATATTTATATTGCTTCAAACTATAGTAATAATAATATTGATGTAATTGGGCATCTATGCACCTTATATTTATATCTTTTTTCTTTTTTCTTTTTTACTGCATCAATAAAGCAAGCCCTGATGGCTCAATTTCACATATAATTGTGTTTACTTTTGCATGATATTATTACTTTTTATACTGTGGGTAAATGTTCTTTTGTTGATAAAATACTATGCTTCAGAAGAAATAATAATGAAATTTTTAAAATGCTTGCTAAAATTACATGTTTAACAATTATACAAAAAAAATTTGATAACCATTGTTTTAATTCAAAGTATTTAATAATAATTTTGCTAATTATTATACCAACTTTGGCACAAAATACAGTAATAGTAGTAGGGAGAAATTTGATAAAGATTGGTAACAAAATAGCTAATAATACACCTATAACTATAAAAAACCAAACAAAAAAAAATATAAGGATGTTTAAGTTTGCTACTCCATAATGTAATTGTTACCATAGCAATTTCAGCAAAAAAAATAAAGGAATTCAACATTATTTGAAATGTTTTCAACTTATCCTCATCATTTATAAATAGTTGCACTAAGAATAATAAGTGAAGTAAGAGTACTAATATATAGTGCACTGTAAATTATTTTTTGTTCAAAGTCCTAATGAATAAGTTGTGATAGGAAATGACGAAGAAACTAAAACAGTATTAGTAAAATAATAACAACACACATGCATGTCTTTTAGTTAAACATACTGATTTTTCACGATCAGAGTTTTCCCTATCCACAAGTGCTCAGATATAACCAAGTTTTGCATTATTGTCTTGCAAGGCATTAAATTTTAATCATTCTCATCTATTCAATCTATAAAAGACTCCTTGTTCTTCTTGTTCAAGATTAAGATCAGTGGGTATTTGGATTGGATTAGCCATTGTAATAGTGGTGGATATGAGAAATGGAAAGTGTTGGAAATACTTGTAATATTATTACTTAATCAATCAAATAGTTAATAAATATGGAAATTTGTGTAATGATTACATAAGAATTTTTCTTGCCATCTGAGGATATTATTAATTGACAAAATCAGTGAGATGTTGATGAAATTTTGTCACTAATTATTATTAATAAAATAAGAAATTTCCCAGATCTCACATCCTCACAAGTTAATTCTCATGTCCATACAAAAAATACAGAAAAAAACCTTAGAGATTGTTAAATACTTCTTTAAAACTCTTTTTCAGTTATTTTTTAATTTGACTATAACAACATATAAGTTCATTTGATAAGTTTCATTAAAATAAAATTTTTTTTTTGTTGATAAACCGATAAAAAAAAGTATAATTTTGGTCAGAATAACTTTATAGTATTTGAAAGTTAAAAAATTCCGAATTTCTATGTTATTGACTTCAGTGACAAACATACAAAATTTTTTGAAGAACACTCCAATCCCTTTAATATATTGACATATTATTCTGAGATTTACCTTACACATACATAAAAAGAGCAAGATTTGTAATACAAAATATCGTGCTTTATTTATTATTTGTTAAATTGACGATTTTTTACCATTTTTGCCCCGCCGATCCTACTAATTTTCACCGGTTTATTCACAGATCGTCAATTAATGATTTAATATTAAGTTACTATCTAATGTCTGATGATGAGTAGGGTATTATAATGATTTAAGTAGCGGGGAAAAAAATTATGCTTCCTCATATTTAGAATGTTTCGCATGATATGATTTTAATTTAGCAAAAATAAATTCTGGAATAATTATTTTTTCGAAATAAAACAGAGATGCCAGTTTAAATTCCGATTAAATTAATAGGCGCATTTTATTATATACAAAAAAAAAAAATTTTTTTGGATATTTAAATGACACATCACATGACTAGATTAAATTATAAGTTAAATAAATCTATAATTTTTTTCTATTCTATTATGAGAATATAAATAATATTTAAAGCTAATATAATCGTCATCATTATTATTATTTATGTATTATTGAATATTTTAATAAATTGCTACAATATATTATAATTAAATCAAAATCGCTAAAAGGAAAACACTTAAGATTCAAAATTAAGAGATAGACCAAATCGATGTACATTCTCGTTCAAACGACTTGTATCAATATGTCCGCCCAAACCTAATTTGACACCTGGTCTAAGCTCTTGAGTATAGCCAAGTCCAAGACAACCAGAATTATCAATTTTAGCCTAAAATATCATTACAATAGATTGATTAGAACCAATGACATTTTTTGATATACATTTTTAGAAATAATAAATAAATTTCTATTATTTAATCATTATCACCTTTACAAAAGAACGTCTATCCAAAGCATATTTTGCACCAAATTCCATTTTAACAGTGTTACTCTTGGAATTATCCCATGTAGCTTTAGCACCAGCCTCGATGTCAGGTTGTACACGATGAAAATACAAAAATGTATAGTTAGACATTGAATTTGTTGCACGAAGAGTAACATTGTAATCAGGAGCGACATATCCAGCAGCTATACCATAACGTGCAATTTTGCCTTCTGTCGCATCATATGAGGCATCACCACCAACCAAAAATCCTTCATGGCCAATCACAGTATCAGCTTGAAGAATGGGACCTTTGTCCACATCAAAATAAGCTTTAGAGTGCAAACCCGGTTGTTTAAATATCAAACCACCTCTAATATTTTTATTTCCAGACGAAGGTTGAAGACTTGATTGTAAATCAAACTTTAAACCTTTAGCAAGACTATTGTCGAGTTCAATTTGTGCTATCACATTATTTGATGTTGTCCATGTTTGAGTAAGCGTGACTCCTCGTTTTGGATAAACATATTTAGTTTTCAATTCACCAGCAATTGTTTGGTCTTTTGATTTTTTTGAACCAGAGAGTGTAAAAGTCTAATAACAATATTAATAATGAATAAAAGTATACATATGAATCTATGCATGTAATTTTTTTTTTCAACATAGATAATAATAATCATCAAATCATACTTACAACATTATTTGGAGCAGTATTTTTTACTTCAAGCTTATAGTCAAGTGGGAAATCTTTGCCAAACAAATCTGAAGCGGCTTTACCAATATCAGAGTAAGATACAGGAGTTGGGGCTGACATTTTTTTTGTAAATAAATAGACTTCAAATGAAATAAAAAAACTTTTAATATGTTTTTTTTAAAAATTGAAAATAATAATAATTTATTAAAAATACTCGTTGTTCTATAAATTTTTTTCAAAAAGATCTTTATTATAAAAAAGATTTTGTGATAATTACAAAAATGCAAGATGATGCATTATAGTTGTACAGAAATTAAAATTAAATTCAGATGGTTATACAAAGTTTACCATCCAAAGCAAGACTTTGCTTATTTCATTTTTCACAAATAATAAAGCACATGATAAATGGCGAACTAAGTCAAAAATAAAAAATCAAAGTACTCATGTAGTCTTGTTTCTTTAAATATATATTTGGTTTTGGATAAACCCAAGTGGATAATTTGGATGTCTTCCATGTTAATCTTTAATAGAATTATTACTCAGTCAAGTAAGGATATCTTTGCAAGGAATATAATCTAATATTGGGAACCTTTTACATTAACATCTTCCAATTTTCATTAAATATTGCAGAAAAACAGGAGCTTTCTAGACACTGTAGGGTGGTGAACATTGATGAGTTCCATACTTCTTCAGTCTGTTCTTTGTGTGATGGATGGTTTGATAAGCATCAAAAATTCTGGTCTGTCAGAGTCTGCAATCAGTCTGTCTGACACATTGGAATTGAGATGTTAACGCTGCCCATAACATAAGGAACATTTTTTTGCACACAAACACTTATAGAGAGAGACCTGATCCATTTATAAGGGGGACTTACTGACCTCTCTGCTGCCATTTTAACTGTGGCAGGATATGTCTAGCTGGTGGCAGCAGCAGCAATGATGACTTTCTATGAAGCCACAATTAGCTATAGGGAGGATTTGGATCTTCCTGATAAGGTTTACTTGTTATTTTTGATCAGTAGAAATATGATTATCCTTAACAATTTTGTCCTTTTATATATGAAAGATAAAAACTTATTCAACAAAATCTTTCCAAATATTGATTTTTTAAAGACTTTTTTTCAAAAGTATTGTCTTCTCTTTTATTTGGATTTTCATAACTGTAATGTAGATTATTAACATATTAATATAAAAAAAAAATTATAGAAATAATAAATTATACAGTAACATTTAAATAAATTCACTGGGTGATAATATTAGTAAAAATGATAAATTATATTGAAAACATAGGTGGTAAAGTTTATCATGTTGTTTAACTTGCTGCAACAATTCCCATTAGGATTTATTTACATATAAAAAAATTTTTTTTATTATTATGATCATGTAGATCTTCATGCTTACGAAACAAATTCTTTAAAAATGTCTTCAACTGACAGATATTTAATAAAGCCTTCCATTACATTACATCCAAAGGGTTCTTTAAAAGATCCATTTAATCAATTACACTCTAAAAATTTCAACCAATTGTTTTCTTTTATAAAAACTTGTCAGAACAAAGAATTCTGGGATGAATTAAATGTCTTGGAAAAACTTTATTATAAGAATAAGAATCAACATAAACGTTCTGAATATTTTCATAAAATAGTTGAGGTAATTTTAATTTATTTAGTAAATATTTATATATATATATATTAATGGAAATCAAATAAAATAAAAGATAAGGAGAATTTTACATAGATTGAAGGAAATGAATTTTTATGAATCATTTTTACATTTTATTGCAATATTCTATGGAAAAGAAAAATCTTTTGATATGTAAGTAATTAATATATATATGTACTTATATATATATCACATAATTAATTTTTTTGGGGGGGAAGAAATAAAATAGATGAAAGTAATTGGAATCATGTTCCATCACAGGAAATGGTATCTTATATACTCAATAGATTAATTGGTGGAACATTGTTAATGAATAAGGTAAAGAATATATATATTAATATGTGAATTTATATATGTATTATGATTTTTGGTATAATTATATTGTATTATATAGGCATTAGATTGTTATACTGATACATACAAGTAATAATAAATTAATTTAATAATATTAATAGTATTTTAATAGTTATTAATTAAAATAATAAATTTTTTCATTGAAAATTAAAATAGTAGTTGTAATAAATTATTATGCTCAACAGAATTCATGCCATTTGCTTTAACATGTATGTCAGTGATTAGTAGATTAAATATTTTGACAAAAGTTTGGATTGAAGAAATAAAAATTTCTTATAAAATGTTGAGAAATTGGATTCAATATTTTCCAGTAAGTAAAATAAGTTTTTATTCACTCTTCACAAAAAAATTTAATTCACTAAGAGCTTTATAATTTTAGAATGATAATGATGATTTATTAGATAATGAATTTCCTGATTCATTAGAAGAAATAAAATCAATTCAACAATCCCTTTAATGTTTTATTAATGTGACATTATCCCAACTGTAATTCTTTAAACATCCTTTTCACTTTCTCAATATCTCATCACAATCTCATGATTATCTGTCAATTCTTTGTATAGCCAATGGGCTTTTTCATTACTTGATTTTTTATAATTTTCATCTAATATTTGAACTAAAATAAAATTTGCATCATTGCTTCCTAATATTTTACCAATTCCTTTAATTTCCTTGATGGACTTTATAATTTTAATTTTTTCATCTTTAATCTTCTTGGCTATTTTATATATTTTTATTTATATTTTCATCTGAAAATTCATTTAAAGCAACTTTTGATGTCAATGAATTTGTGTTATATGGAGCTTTTATGTTATTCATTAATTGAACAATTTTAGGATTAATCTAAAATATATATAAGAATCATAAGTAGGTGTATATATATGTATGCATGTATACTATGTAATTTACCTAATTCTAGCCAGTACAAAACTTTTGCTTGAAGTTTGTATAATAAATTGGATAATCTTTCACCCAATCTACAAAACTTGCATTTTTACTTTTACCAACAAAATTGATATGTGTTTCATCAACTACAGCTATTCCATTTAAATTTGGATCTAAAATCAGTTTAACATCATCTTTAGGTAATAATGTGCCAGTTGGATTTCCAGGTGAGCAAAGGAAAATTATTTTTATATTTTTATCTTGTTTTAAAGCTTTGGAAATCTATAAAATATGTACAATATAATAATGGATTGATCTATTAATTATTGAAAAAAATTATTCAATAATCATCTCATCAGTCTTCAATTGAAATCATCCTTCCTCAAAGCTTGACAATTGCAACATCATTTATATTTGCACTTATTAAATACATTCATTCCATATATTGGAGGCATAACCAATATTTATCTTTACTGGGTACACAAAAACTCTCATCAATTGTTGCCATATTACGAACTTTAATAGATATTCTTTAACCATAAATTGATTTGGATCTGGGCATCTATTCAATTCTTCATTACCACCATCCATCATTCCAAATGGATTTTCATTGGCATCTAATAAAATTCCATTTGAATAATCATCTCTTGCATATCAATAAGTTTAAGTGAAGAATGTTAGGATGGACAATTGATTTGATGAAATTTATTGCATTTTTTTTTTAAAGTCAAAAAAATCAATCAAAAAAATCAATCAGCTTACAAAATTGATTTATTAAATAAATACACAATGAGGCTTGATTTAACTGATTTAGATTTAGGGCCCCTGAAAGATTTCATTGAAAATCATTTCCAGATATTTTTATTTGTTAGTGTCCAGGATTTTATGGTGCAAAATGGCAAATTTTGCTGTGGACTTTTTCCTTTTGCAAATTTTGCAATTTAAAAGCATTAAATTCTCATCACTAACAAAATCCTGGACGCTCTAATTCAGAGCTTCAGGAAAATCTTTGTTACATGAAAAAGTACCTAAAAAAAGAAAAATTTGTTGCTGGTGTTATTTAGGATGTAATAATAAATTAAAAGGCATTTATTAATTAATGGTTGTTTTACTCATTTATATATTATATTTAATTATTTATCAAATATTTATATCAATAGCATTAGCAGAACCTGATTTGTTATTAATATTGCAAGCATGCAATCCAATGTTTCCTAATTAATAGGTTATTAATGTTCAACACACAGCCTACCTGCTGACTTACAGTCACTAGGATCTATTTAAATAATTATATCCCAAAGGCATCCCCTTGAGATGTATCTGAATAATTGAAATGGTTCCCAACTAATAATTAAAGGTTGGTCAGACCATTTACCATTAGAAGGATTGGGGGTCAATCACACTGGGTTTATTAGTTATTTACAGTCAAAGACTATTTTATGTAAGGTTATATATTTATTAAGAGTTATTATTATGTTGTTATCAAGGTTGTTATCAACAATATTAACAATTGATTAATTAATGATTATTATTAACTTGGTCTAAAGCCAAGTGTATTTATACCTCTTGGGCAGTACAAATAATGTGATATGTGCTACTCTACTCCCCAATAATATGCTTATCAACTAATTACTAATTCTAAATAAATATTTACATCAGATGAGTAGGTTAAATAAATATAAATATAGAAATATGAATAGGAATAGTCTTTCATATGACACTGCGCAATGTGCGGCGTAGCCGTTACAATAATAATATTTAGCGCATCACATGACTTCCGTAGTAAATTCGTTCTAATTGGTCAATATTAGATTTACTATCTCACAATAATTTTTATTTCTCATGTAAAAATAATAATGTGATAATTCAGAGTCAAAATCATTAATTTTTTATTTTTCATTTAATTTTTACAATTTACAAATCTAACTATAATACTAACACTAATACCTATTTAAATTTATTAGTGAAAATTAAAATGAAATGCAATAGTTATTATTGTAAACTTCAACTGATTTCATTCAACAAAAACAAATATTTTACTTCAAAAATATTAAGTTTCATTGATTTTTTTAGTTCTTTTATGTTTTATTATACACATCCTTTTTTTTGATCAATGATTTGTATAAATTTTTAATTTGTTCATTGAATCTTCAGTAATAACAGCAGGCAAAAAATCTTTATGGCTTTTGTATAAGAAGCTCTACCTCTTGAGGTGTAGGTTTGTGGCATTTTGATTTTTCTACATTAGTTTCACTAATGTTCATTGGAGAAGGTGATTCTATTATACAAAACACTTGTTCTAATTCTACAGTGTGTAACAAATAATTGGAAAAAATAAAATGAATATTGTGGAACAACAACAGAACCAAAACAAACAAGTGATATCATGTTTTAAACATCATCATTTATAAGATTCATTTTATTATAAATTAATATGGTATTCTTTCACCATTTTTTTCAATAACCAATTCACAACAATCTTTCATTGAGTTTATCAAATTAGTTAAAACATTAATTAGAATATTGTCCCATTCCTCCTTCATAAAACATTTTAATTTGTCACAGTTGTTTGACATCCTTCTTTCAACATTTTGTTTAACAATACTCCAGAGGTTTTCAATGGGGTTAAGGTCAGGACTGTTGGATGGCCAGTCCATTAATTTTTCAGGAACATTTTCATTGAGAAATGCTCAGGCAGTTCTACTGGTGTGTTTAGGATCATTGTCCTGTTGGAACCACCAAACATCCCTCAGCATCACATTGACCTCTGGAATATGATTTCTAAGTATATCCACATAAAAGCTAAAGCAAAAAAGATTCGTTTTTCCATTTACACAAAATCCACCCCATGCTAAAATTTTTGTTCTGTCTTTTGGCATACGACGAACTGGTTTCACACCTTTATGCCAACGTTCCTGAACAATTGAAAGACTGTCTCATCAGTGAATAACGTTTTTGACCAGTCGTCATCTAAGTGTTTCCTTGCCCATTAAACTCCTTTCTCCTTGTAAACCATTGTTAGCATAAGGGTGGCTTGCAGGAGGCTTTTCTTATAACCATGATTAGATAAATGTCTCGAAATAGTCATGTGAGACACTTATATCCTTTTTCTGCTACTATGTTTACCAATGATCTTACGTATTTCTTCTGATAATCTGCCCGAATGAACGTGAAATATCCGCAGTAAATTTTTTTGGCTGACCACCACCATCTTTATGCAAAATATAATTGTCTCCTTAAATTTTTTAATATTAAATATATAGTAGAAAGGGAAATCTTTGTCAGACCTCACACCCTGGTTCCAGAAATGTAATAGAGTCTGACATTGTCTTTCTTGGTCGGATGTAGACATTTTGATGTTAATTTTTTACAACAATTGAAAATTAATAAACCTAAAAAGTTTTGAAAGTGACGCGATGCAAATTGGGTTTAATTTGAGTACAAAACACGCATTTAAACAACGCGAACAATTTTCCAATTATTTTTGTTACACTGTATATTCATTTCATCAATAGGACCATCTTGATCTAGATTTGTCTCTACCACCTGCATCTCTTCTTCTGCCTCCACATAATTAGTTGATGAACTTCTAAAAAATATCAATCTTACGTATTTCTTCTGATAATCTGCCCGAATGAACGTGAAATATCCGCAGTAAATTTTTTTGGCTGACCACCACCATCTTTATGCAAAATATAATTGTCTCCTTAAATTTTTTAATATTAAATATATAGTAGAAAGGGAAATCTTTGTCAGACCTCACACCCTGGTTCCAGAAATGTAATAGAGTCTGACATTGTCTTTCTTGGTCGGATGTAGACATTTTGATGTTAATTTTTTACAACAATTGAAAATTAATAAACCTAAAAAGTTTTGAAAGTGACGCGATGCAAATTGGGTTTAATTTGAGTACAAAACACGCATTTAAACAACGCGAACAATTTTCCAATTATTTTTGTTACACTGTATATTCATTTCATCAATAGGACCATCTTGATCTAGATTTGTCTCTACCACCTGCATCTCTTCTTCTGCCTCCACATAATTAGTTGATGTTCCAAGATCTTTTACCTTCAGTTGAAATTATGTCATGTCTTCTTCTCCCTTTAGTAGTTCGTTTTCAGTCAAATAAATATCTTATTTAACAATTTTTTCAAGGCGATTTATCCTTTTTCATAACATGTAAACATGAGATCATAAACCTCCTTTGTCAATTGGTTGGTGTTTTTGAACAAAATGGAATTCTGAGGTGAAGCATCTTTGATATTTTTTAGAAGTTCATCAACTAAATCTCCACATAGCTTGTCTACATTCATTCACAGCTCTTGCACTTCTGCTTACAACACTCTCATCAATAAATTCATCATGTAACATTAACATCCGCTCTCTTTTGGACTGGACTGTTTTGATAAGCTCTTTCAAATTATCAGAATTTTTTACTTACCCAGGGAGATTTTGCTTGACAAATTTGACGCCAAATATCTCAAGAGCTTCATTGTAAGTAAAAAATGATTTTCCTTGGTGAGGTTAATTGACCAGCAAATTGCAGTCATTGTTGAAGTTCTGGATTTCTGTTAACATGAATTAAAAAAATTATCATTATTTATTTAAAAAGTAGAAATAAAAAAAAAACAATAAATAAACAAATAAATTGTTTTATTATGAATGAATTTATTCAAGTATTACCTATATACCATAATCCCGGGTTGATTTTAGAGTTATGCTTGACTATTGAAAGTTGAGGATATACTTTCTTAATAAAAAATAGACAATTATAAATTTTTTCGTGTTATCATTTTTTTTATTCTTTAAAAAATGCCTAACAATAGAATCAAACCCCATTCTAGTCATTATTTAAAGATATTAATTTGCAATTTTATTCAATTAAAAAAAATTTTTTTTTATATACGTAGCAGACAAACCTTTATCAGACAGGAATCACGGGAACATAAATACTGATTATAAAATGTGTATACTATTTCTAGGCCAGACTTTTATTTTGCCGAAATATCTATAATAATGTGAAGTTTATTTCTCACGAGACAAATTATTGAACAAACGTAAGGGTCGCGTCAGTGAAACAAGTGGCAGAAAATAAAGAGGTTTGAGCTCTAAAGTAATACTACCGATTATTTATTTGCCTGTTGATCTCCCAAAACTCATAGAATCGGTCAAAACAATGAATATGTGAAAATTGCCATCTAAAAACTGAATAGCAACATTAATCTAACAATTTTCTATTTAAAAGTCTTGATGAGGAAAAATACAAAGATATGATTGATGCCATGGCAGAAATAAGTGAATGAAAAATGAAGAATTCATTAAAACTGGGAACTGGTAGTTTTGATGTTTATGTTTTGAATAATGGAGCACTGGAAAAAAAGGTGATGGTTGTATAACGTACTGTTGTAACAACATCAGATTCAGTTCTTTGGGTATTTGATGGAGGTGAGAATTTTGATCTCATAAACAATGAATGTATGAATCATCATGCATACTTTTTTTAAAGGATATTTCAAATATTTCATCATTACTTGTACACTTTTATTTCCTCATAAAGAACATTTAAATGCGAATTAATTATGATATAAATTATATGTGTATGTATACATTATATATAAATTGAAAGATTTTAATATTTATATATATAATTTACCAAATCAATTTATTACTATTATAATTTTAATTTTAATTTTAATTTTTCTAATTCAATTTGTATAAGTGAATGAACACTTTTCAATTGATAAGATCCATCAATAGTGACAACTTTCTTGGAATCTCTGGCTAAAGTAACCTTAAACCAATCAGGAGCAACTTCTGCTAATAGTTCAATATGTTCCATTACTTCTACTATTTAAAATAAAAAAAATTATTAATTGTTAATTAAATAATTTATTTATTAACGTTTTTTCTGAAAGATTTTTTTTACATACATGGACTACTTGTACTTTCTTTAAGTTTTGTAACAAGCTCTCCTAGATACATGACGTTCTTACCAGAAACTTCAAACATACTATAAATTATTGATTAATTAAAGATTAATATTTTGTGACTATACAATATATATTTAATATGTATATATGAGAAAGGATACAATGATATCGAATCAATCATTTCTTTAACACGACCAAGCATTGCCCGTTGTTTCATCAATTTAGAATTTAACTCTTGAAGCATCTGATCTATCTTTCTCTGACCTTTCATCTAGAAAATAAAAATAATTTTTTTTAATATATAGATCAATAAATAAATCAGCTAGAGGATTACAATAAATTTGATGAATTTTACCCTTTCAATTGATGCTTGTCGGCTTCGAGAAAGTTCCTTTGATTTGATGGGTTTCTTGATGGTTGTTGAATTCTTTTTTGCCTTATTCTCTTTCTGCGCAATAAAAAATTTCTAATATATAAATTTTAAAATAGATTATTTGAAATGCCTTGTTACATATAATTATAATTTATAATTGTTACTGCTTACTTCTATCGAAACAAGTTTTTTACTAGAGGTTAAAGTAACTTTATTTTTGTTGTTGTTGTTGTTGTTTTTACTATTCTTATTAGTATTATTGTTCCTGCTAACAATATTGCTGTTATTGTTATTATTTTTTGCAACCCTGCAAAAGTTACTAATATCCTAAAAGTAGATTTTTTCATTTATTTAAAATTATTTAAAAAAAAAAAAAATTTCATTCCTGCTTTACAAGAAATACAAAAATCGTTACTTACCCTTATAGCAGGATTTGTTTTGACATTTTTATTTTTATTATTATTGTTGCTACTGCTAATACTACTTTTACCCTTCATGGTTTTAAAACCAATTATATTTTTATTTGCAAATGTTGGAGTTCACTTTTTTTATTATCAATGAATATAATAATGATGTTGTTCGGGAGAAATTTTTTTAGTATATATTAGGTAATTAATTACGCGTCAGCATTGTGGAAATTTGAAATGTTACACTAATTTTTTATATTGTGCAACGTAGTTTTACAATACACGGCGAACATTCTGGCAATAAAAAGTAAGTGATAAACTGGATTTGAACTTGATCTCCAATTTAGAGAGGTAACAACTATACACTGACGAAGTTTCAGAAGCAATGAGTTCTGTACAACATTTCGTGTAATAACAAACTTCCACTATGCTTTACGCGTTGCTATTGCTATATATATATGAAAATCTTTGTCCAAATCGAAAAGTGCGTTCTTTGTTGTACAATACTTATTAGGTAATGGAAATCAAGGTACTGATCTACAGAATAAAACTTACGCATTTTTTTAAAATATATATTTTAAGTAGTGGTTGTATCCGTTGATTAACCGGGTGTTTGAGTACTTGGTCAATCAATAAAGCTCAACGCCCGGATAATCGGTCAGTCAATAAAACTCAACACCTGGATAATTGATCAGTCACAGAATAACCACCGAATATTCATTGAATATTCATTTATTTATAATAATTATTTATTTAGGAAAAATATTTTCAAGACATTGCATAAAACCCGTTGTGACAAGATTTACTGATCTTGCCACAATGGATTTTTATGTTTTTATATTTTAATCTGAATGTGAAGCAAAATTTTTAAAAATCCGTTATAATTATAGTCCGCTGTGACAAGGTTTGGTCATAGATGCTCATTGGAGTAGAAGTTACTGCAATGCATAAATATTCTTTAGATAATAATGACACAGTTGGTATTCATATTACTTGATATATTATTGTAATAGAAGAATGTTGGTGATAGTGTAATAGTGGATAAAATAGTATTTAATGTATTAGTATTCTTTGGATAAAATTTTTATTTTTTATATTTCTGTACCACTGATTATTCACCAATTATCCAATGAAAATTTTCAACACCCAATTAATTAATCAATGAAAATTTTTCAGCACTTGATTAACCAGATAATCAGTGAATAATTGGTGAGTATCATTCAGTGGATACAACCACTAGTGTGCAACTTTCCAGGTTTATTATTGATTTCCTGTGTATATGTAAAAATTACTATTTTATAGTATTAATTACAACAAAACCTTTTAAAAATCAAATGACTGACATTAAGAAAAAATCAAATTAATCATCTTGCAAATTGTTAAAAATTGAATTAATGTCACCATTAAGAAAATGCCTAAAAATAAGATTTACTAAAATAAACCTGCAAATCCTTCTGTCCATTAATGATATATATTTATTATTTATTAATTCAGAAACATTATATTAATATTAAGCAAGCTATACATTTAAACAGTATATATGAATTGATTTTGAACTGCTAATTCAGATATCTTTTTTATGAATAATTTTACAGATATAATAAATATTAATGTTCTATTTTATCACAAAATTTGGAGAATATAGACATTCAGTACTGTATATACACACTTTTGCATTACTGTACTGTATGGTCTACAAAATTGAAAAAATCATTCAGTACACAACACCCTCCACCAATCAAATTTTGAATACACATTAATTCTGTACTTGTACTATTAAAAATTAATACAGAAATACCAATTTGCATATCATACAGTACAGGAATGCAAAAGTGTACAGTACTGAATGTCTACCAACTGTTGCAGATCATACAGTGCAAAAGCATACAGTACTGACTGCAAAATTTGCAGATATTTTTTTGTGGATAACTACACATTTATATAGCTAATGACTATGTAAATTCATCCTATGTTATGAAGTTTTATATTTTGCTATTAATCTGTTGGAAGATAATATAACATCAATGTGTTGATATGTTATATGGATTCAACAATGCTTGCATTCATTATATGTAACATGAGATAAAATAATTAAAAGAAAACTCAAAAAGAAAATGTCCAATCAATCTTTCAAAATATTTAACATTTATCTGCTCAAAGGCAAAAATTACAAATGGTGAAAAATCTGTTGTTTCAAATATAAAATAAAAAATGAAAGGACAAATCAATTAATTAATGAATATAATGAATAAATTAATAGTAGTGAATTATACAATGGATGATTAATTTAATCTCCATCAAGCTCATCAATCCCTAATTAATTAAATGGGAATAAAATGTTGTTAGTAATAATTAATGGATAATAAATTCCAATTAATTAATAATGAAATTTGATTCACCTTTCTTAAAATCAACACTTCAAAAAAAAAAAGTGTTAAGATCAATATTGTTTAATGAACTATCATTACTTGTAGAAACTTTGAAGCTTTTGGATTTAGCAATTTCCTCATCCAATATTCTACTTTTATGATATGCTAATGGATGTGAATTATTATCACAATTGGTAACATAAATTGTAATATCATTTTTAGGGATATCCTCTAGTTTTTCTTTAGCAAATTCAAAAAGCTCATTAATAGTTGGTCTGTTGGATGGATTTACATCCCAACACCTCTGCATCATTTGTACATAGTCTCCAGGCATTTCAGGTAATATTGGTGGTCGTAAACCTTCTGCACATATATCAAAGATTAAGCGATGATTGTGAGCTCTATCATCAAATGGTGGATGACCTGCAAATATTTCCCACATTAACATCCCAACACTGTAGATATCAGTTTCTTTGGTGTTCTTCATGTTATTGCCTCTAAGTAGCTCAGGTGCAACATATGACACAATTCCATAGACTTTATCTGATGATTTTTCATCAACTGGTCCACATAATCCTAAATCAGTAATGTGACAATTTCCACCACTCATTAATAAATTACCACTATGTAAATCACAATGGATTAAATCCTTTTCATGTATGTGATATAATGAATCACATAAATATTTAAACATTGTAATTCTATCTTTTAATGTTAAATTTAAATGATTTTTTTGTAAATAACCCCTTAAATTTCCATCAGATAAATAAGTTAAAACAATTGCATAATTTCCATTATCTGGAAATTTAGTTATACCATAGCAAGGAACAATTAAATTTGATTTAATTCTAGAATAATTAATTGCCTAAAATTGAATATAAAATCATTTAGTGTTATATAATACAGTATTGTTTTAAATGACAACTACAAACCTCATCAAAAAAGCCTTTTCCTGGATCGCATGAATCATTTAAACTTTTTAATACTACTTCTTGTTCTCCAAAATAACTGAATTTCTTTTTATCTTCATCATAATCAGTTATTCTTCCTCTTGTCCATATAGCTGTATAAATTGAACTAAACCCACCTTCTGTCAATTTTGTTATATCATCAAATTGCTCAAAAGGTATCCATTCTAAAATATAAGTTGGCAAAGAAGAATTCATTTGACATCTTTGGATAAAATGGTCAATAATGTTATTGCCAGATGTCCAAGTAGTGAAAAGTTTCTGTAATTGTAAACTAATGCAGTTTTCACAGAATTTATCAGAGTATCTTGTTGACTTGCACTTGTTACAATCTTTTGATTTTCCCTTTTTATGTATTGCATTGTTTAATTCAATATCATAAACAAACTTTTCTTTACAATAATTTTTTTCAGCTTTAGAAAGTTCTTCCTTTTCTTTGACTAATGAAAAAAAATAATCTTTTCTATTTTCTCTATCAGAATTAATCAGAGCACTATTATACATTTCACTATTAATTTTAAATACAACTTCCCACCTTTCTGGTAATAACAACTTATTAAATGACATTATGTAAAAAATTTTTAACAGATTTAAAAAATGAAAAATAATAAATACTGTAGGAAAGTAATTAATATTCATTTTTCCGCAAAAAAAAATCCGCAAAATCGCCAATCAATTTCTAAATAAGGATAACACGCACCCAACCCACCAATCAAAATCAAGTTTGGTATATAAAAAGGCTTTATTTGTATGATACACATCATCATTTAAAATCTAGACCTTCCCAGAAATGACGAATTATTACTACATGTATATCAGAAAATACTACAAAATTTTACGAAAATTAATTGTAACTAGTTGCAACTAATTGCGTCATAGAAAAATTGGATCGGGTTGCGGTTAATTACATTTCCCGTATTAATATTAATATTTAATATGGTATATAGTTAAATTAATTTTTGTTGTACGCATAAATTAATTGCATAATTTTTAGCCAAAATATATAAAATAAAAATTTATTATTATGAATGATATATGTGAAGTATGAATATAAAAAAACTGCTCTACAAATAATAACGTTTTCCATTCATTTTATTAATTAGACCCTTCTTCAATCTATTTTCTTTTGTTTCAACTTTAAGATCAAAGAGAAAATTACAACCTTCGTAGAGATTAAATTATTAAAGTTAGTTTATTTACTTTTTTTTATTATAAGAAAAGCATATATACACCTTGCTCTTTCACTAAAGAAAATAGAGAAAGTGATACACACCTATTGGTAAAATGCCATAATATTTAAAGGTATTAAGACCACATTTATGAAAATGCGTAAAAAGGTACAAATCGCATACAGAGCGTATAGCGTTAATTCTTCCAGGACTTTCTCGTTATATTAATATGGATCTTTACGTTGGCCTTTATTTGACTGTGGATTTTTTATTGATGAAACCTTATTCATTATTATTTTTGAACATTTATTTATTACATGGGATTCTTATTAATAGTTTCCTACTTGCTAGAGTTGTTCACTCTCTTTATAATGGACCTTTCGCCTATATGTGATTTTTTCTACTTTGATTCGTTATAGAGAGTGTTTACTAAGATTATAGAGAGAAAAATTAATTATAAAAAAATGAATCGAGGACAAAAGTGAAGTTTGTTATAGAGGGATTTTACTTAGTATTCGTTATAGAAAGAATGAACTGTAAAAAGAAAGAATTTAACAACAACAGCAACAACAACAACAACAACA